CAGATTTTTTTTCAAGAATATAGTGCAATCAATTTTAATGCGTTGTAAAACAGTGCTTGTTAATCAGAGATGAGCTTAAATCCGATTCGTAACATCTCAAATCTTCTTTTTATGTAACTGACCACATATTCCTACAGTTTGTTTTCATTGCATATCTCAAATAACTCCTTGGAATCGGCCCACAGACAGTTATAGATAAACCCTAGTCGAGACTCCCGGCAGAAGTCCCGTTTTGTGTAAAACTCTCACGAGAGCCCGATGGGATCCCGTTGGACTCCATCGGGAGTTTTTTTCTCCGAAAATGCTAACTGAATACATTCTTAATATATGAATCTGAATACACTCATGAATATATCTTAATAACATACTGGACGGATTTACAGGAAAATTCAGTTATGGAAAATGTTTTCATTATTAGATCCAGGGGCGCCCCGATAAGGGGAGGGAGGGAAGGAAGGAAATCCCCTGCTTTCTGAAAAGATTTACTTCGAAATTAGGGTTTTCTTACTCCGAAAATTAGCCCTTTGACTTACGAAAATATCATACGGAGTAACGCGCTGACTTGTATTTTCAGAGTAAGACAATTATTCGCATTTTTAGAGTACAAAAGGCTTACTCTCAGTTTCGAAGTAAGGCGCTTATTCCCATTTCCAGAGTAAGACGTCTACTCTCAATTTTGGAGTAAGACATTTATTCCCATTTTGAGAGCAAAAGGCTTACTCTCAGTTTCGTAGTTAGGAATTTATTCTCGTTTCAAAAGTAAGATATTTACTGCTATTTTTGGAGTAAGAGATACACTTCCATTTTTAGAGTAAAAAAAAAATCAAAAATAGACTCAGAACATAAATGAAAGATGATCATTAGAGCAACTATTTACGTTCAATAGAAACAGAATTTACTGATCAGTTAAATATACAACTTTTAGTGCAAATATGGAGAGATATGAAACCAGGACGACATATTTTACTTTAATTTGCTTTGTACTGAAGTATATAGAGTTAGATAGAAGGAAAGTCAGTTTTGCTTTAGAAGAAAACTGCTTAGCATATTTATCTTTGTTTTTTTATTTTTACTCCAGTTTCTAAAAGCATAAAAATTTACTCCGAAATTGACTTTGGTTTGTAAAGCTTTAAATTCTCTATATGATTTCGCCACTCACTTTTGAGTTTGTTTACTTCTGAGTGTCCCTTCAAGTTCAAAGTCCTTAATTAAAATTCATATGAAATTAGTGATGGAAAGTAAGACGTAAAAAACGTCTTCCTTACGTTATCGTTCTTATGGTATTCGTGATCTGTGGGATTTACATATATGGCCACGAATACTGTAAAAACGGAAAAGAATGAAATATTTGACGTCGGACGAGAATGGAAAAAAATGCTCTCGTGAGAACACCATGCGTTACGTCTTACACCGCTAAAGTACGGAATGAATGGAATAATCTTAATGTTCTTGACGTAAATGAATAATTGTTAGTTTGAAAAAATCAACATAAAATGACTTGTATTCAAACGACACTAGGACGACAAAAAATGGAAATGATAAGTGTGTATCACAGAACATTGACGGAGGTGTTTTCTATGACATTAGCACAAAGATTGCATTTTTAGGAGACTTTTCACGACTGGTGCTCTAAACTATCCAACTCCTTTTTTGCAGATATGGTTGTTCATAGTTTGAACATTGTTCTTCAATAACGTGTGCTTTGATACGACCTCAGCATCATCTTTTTTCTTCAGTTCAAAAAAGGGTATTTATGCTTGTTTAAGGAAAATACAATGGCAGAAACCTGGAACAAATGAATGTAAATGTGACTATTCTATAAGAATGGCACATATTATTTGATATGAGCAACCGTTATGTTTAGCCTAACATGTCTCTAAGTACATAATTCTGTCCTATACGTTTAGTTTTTCACGTTGTTTCTCTTCAAGATGTTTTAATAGCTAAGAAACAGATAAAAAAAATCTAAATGAAGTTCAAAAAACGTTTATACCAGGCCGAATTAGTTTACATTTATTCGAAATGAATTAGTTTGAACACAAGTCAACGCCTTCAATTGTTGTGAATAAATTCTCAAGAACAAAATGAATGTCAAAGTAAATTATTATGAACAAATAAATTAATTTGAATTAAGTTAAAGTACAAAATTATTCTAAAAACTCTTTCTAAATAAATTGATTTAAAGTATTCAACTAATTAAGGTGCATACTCTATCGACATGGGAGCGATCGGAACTAGCCTTCTCCCTCCGAAGATACAGTATGTTGTCTGTGTACTCACTTTCGCATACGTTGCAGTACTACAGCTTACCATTTACAAGGCGATTGAAATAGTTTAATCAGTTTCTTTACTAGGTTTACATCAATTTGAGAGCAAAACTTAGTTCGAATTAATTTAAGGTTGAAAAGTAGTTAAAACAAATTTATGATTAATTGATTTAAATAAATTAGACCTCTTAGACTGATTTGAATTAATTTGACAGCAGAAGTTAGTTCAAATTTATTTTTACTAATTTCCAACGTTAAATTAATTCGAACTAAGCTTTGCTCTCAAACGAATGTAAATTCATCAGGGAAAAATTAATTGCAAGATTTACAGAATCAAAATAGGATTTTATTTCTTTTTCGAAAAATTTTCATAAAATTCTGAGATGGCCGTTCGATTCGTCACAAAAAGATGCTCCGGGAAAGTTATCCTTTAACTATGGCAGATAGGGACTTTTAATTTTTTCTTAAACGTTCCCAAAAATATATTGAACATTTCAGAAATTCATTGGAACTAATTAAGATCCAGATTAATTGCAATTAATTTCTATTTAATGTGGATTCAATTAATTTGCAAAAAAAATCGATTGTAATTGATTTCTGCTGAATTCGTTTGAACTAATTTTTAATTCAAAATTACTTCGAATTAATTCCCTATGGAACTTGTAGTAACTAGTTTGTGGTTTAATTAATTCAAATCATTTTTACAATACGGAATTAGTTTAAATCAATTTAAGGCTATACTAATTTGAAATAATTTTGCGCCAGGGGATTTTAAAAGAATACCAATTCGAATTAGTTCAAAAGAAAGATTGCTTTAAATTCATTTTTTTCATATTAGTTTAGATGGATTCGTGACTAAATTGATTTAAATTAATTTGAAAAAGCGTTAATTTAAATTAATTTGAACTTTACAAACTAATTTTGGCAAATTTGAATTAAAAAGTGCACCGATTTAATATGAGACATTTTTTTCATTTGCTAGTGAGAAAAATTAATTTTGATTCTTTTGTTTTTTTTAATTAATGTTAATTAATTTTGTAATTTTAATTTTATCTTCATTCAGAATTTTAGATTAGTTTGAATTAATTTCGAATGCAAAAATACTTTTTAATTGATCCGAACGGTTTTCGATTTAAATTCGTTCGAATTTCTTCGATTCTTGAAATTTGTTTAAATTAATTAGAAACTATTCAAAAATTTCAGTGGGTTTTTCGAAAAGAAACTAAATGTGCGCTGCGTCAACTTATCCTTAGAAGATTAGTCGAGTCGTCCGGTGTAGATTTGTTTTTGAAAATAAAACCATCATAAAAATGACGTAGTAGGATAAGTCGATATGTCTTGTGAGGGTGAGTCAACACGCCCCGCTTGAAAGATCTTTTGATGATACCCTCCACCAAACAATGACCGTCGGATAAGTCAACCTATCTGTGGAGATAAGTCGACTAGTCTCAAAAACATTTAAATTTTCAAAGTTCAAAAAAATGACGAAATAGCTGTTAAAATTAGTGAACGTTCGAAAAATCAATTCAATATAGGGGTAATCAACTATGCTGATCACAGTGGCGATCTCGGTTTTCTTCCAACATGCTTTCCTAATCCATGGAAAAAGATTTTTCACTGATAGTAGATTCTGTTTTTAAAGTTTTATTCCAAACATGTATGTTCTGCTATTCTCTGATTTTGACAAGCATCGGACATGAGACAAAGGAATTCAGTAGCTTTTTAAAATAGTTTTCAAAATGCCTAAAGAATTTTCTGTCGAACGTAAAGAAGTGTACTTTCGAGTTATTGATTTTGTTGAAAAAGAGAAGAATGGACCGATGATTCCACTTGGCTTGACTACCACACGTATCCGTGCTATTCTTAATATCTCAAATGGGTCGCTCTTCAAACTGAAAGCTGAAATGAAACATTTGAAAGAGAAAGAGAAAGAAGAGGAGGTGGGAGAGAATTTGAATCTCCGCCCGCACTCTTCTTTTGCTACTACAATTTCATATTTACGATCGACTTCTACTCTCACATCTTTATCTACGAATCCTATCCCCCGTCAAAAGCGCAATTTCTCCGCCTCAACGATCTCCACCATAGTAACAATTTCTAGTCCCGAACCCCCTAAAAAAAAGCGTGGTCCCGAAGCAGTTCGCCTTTCTGAAGAAGCTGAAGGATGCATTTGTTATACTTTTCATCTTCTACTCGCCGAAAAAACATATCCCACAACAGAACTTCTACTTCATCGGCTACTCAGTCTATATCCGGATTTTCCTATCACTTGCACAACCTCTCTTTGGCGTCAGCTCAAACGCATCGGCTTCTCTTACAAAGCTTCTTCCAAAGTAGCAGTGCCTCTAGACAGTGTCTCCTTAATGGCTCAACGAGCCTATTACTTTCGAAAGTTAGATGAGCTGAGAGAAAATAAGGTCCTAATGTTTTATCATGATGAGACATGGACTAATGCAGGGGATGAGAAACGATCAGTGTGGGTTGACGAAGAAGGTACTGATCGCTTGCGCAAAACAGATGGAAAAGGTAGGTTAGTGTTTAGATAAAAAGAGCATGTCTAGCCCGATTTTTTAAAAATGTTTAGGAAAACGGGTAGCCATAAGTGCGATGATCAATGAAGAAGGTTTTGATTTGACTTCTATCAACATATTCGACTCTGATGCTGATCATACGATGAATTCAGCTCACTTCGTCGATTGGATCAGCAAAACATCTTACTCTTTACATCAAAAGCTAGGTGCTACATCGCGCATTTGCATAATCATAGACAATGCCACTTGGCATAATGAGCTTACTAATGAAACGAAGCCTCCTAAGCGAGCATGGCGCAAAGATCAGCTACAAGGCTGACTTCAACAACACAATATCACCTTCGATCCTAAGTTCAAAAAAGCCGAACTTCTACAAGCAGCATTTTCCCACCTTCCCCACAAGAAGTACAAAGTGAATGAAGCAGCAGCTGTGTTCAATGTTGAGATCTTGCGTCTACGTATCAAACACTGCATGTTAACTCCCATTGAACTTGCATGGTAAAAAAAATCCTCCTTTTTCATAGCTTTTACTAAACTTCACATTTTTTTAAAGGGCACAACTGAAGAATTACATGCGCACTAACAATACCTTGTTTAGAAGAATGGTCGAAGTGTCTACATTAGACGCGTGATCGACTTTTTTAGACATTTCACCCGTCTTCTTTTTTTTACAGTGTGATGTTTATTTTTTATTTCGCCATTTTGCTTTCTTCTGCCTCAATAACGGTGCTTTTTCCTTCCTGTCTTTATCGTTACATATCCACACTTTATTCAACCAATCAGTGCCTCTAGGCAATAAGTTAAGCAAACGGTTTCTCGGTGTTTTGATAATACCCCTCTTATCCCATCTCGTTAAAAATTTTCTGCAACCTATCCCGTTCCGCACACCTCTGCTATCGTATGCGACATTAAATTATAAGTAGTGAGTAAAAGCATAAGCACTCTGAGGTTTACTGACAAATAAACTTTGAAAGACACTGACAACACCACATGTTTGGATAAAAAAACCAAAGAAAAGGCTGTTAGCAAAACAAATGCCTCATCAAGACACATTTAGTGTTATTTCGAGACTTTGTCCGCATCATAGTATTCTTTCAGTTGTAGCAGAAAAGATGAATTAGGTTTGATTACACTTCGCTTTGACATAACATACTGTAAAGCCTCATTTACTGTTGTAAACTGCTTAGCATCATTCTTTGAATAACCCAATAAATAAGCTATGATTATCGTTGGAGATCGGCTAACACCTTGTTCACAATGAACCAATACTGTTCCTTTGTCATTTTCAATGGCGTTTGATATCCATTCGGTAGCTAAAGGAAATACTGGGAATAATATGGCGGATAAGCTATCAGATATCTGCCAATGTAAAGTTTTTATACCATTCTCGAACTGCAATTTCTTCTCTGGATAATCACTAAAACTCATTATATGAGTAATTCCCAACATAGACACGACTGTCTGGTTTCGACATAATGCCGATCCAAGATATAAATTTGGCTGGATATATGACGGCCATGCTAACTGAATACATTCATTGAAATGAATAAAATCGTTACATAAAAATGGAAATTTGGACTCGAAATTTGCATGACCACCGGTTAAAAAATGAATATTTCTTAATAACGTACTGGACGGATTTACAGGGGAATTCAAATATGCTTGTAGCAAACTTAATGTTTCGCTATGATCTTCAGTACCATCTGTGCATATTATGACTCGCTCAGCCTGCTCTGCTCGACCATAATCAGCAGTGATCTGTGCATCTAAACATGCTATGGCACTGACTGTAGTCGCTGTTGAGGGATCAATATGATGAGCAGTGTGAATGTGGCACTTAGCGTAATCCTGGCTAGATCGAAGATCATATATACGATAATCCCAGTACAAATAATTGTACAAATCTTCAGCTGTTATAGCAGTAATAACAATTGGTTGAGACACTAATGTTGAAGATATGGTGGATTTCAATGCCATTTTCTTACGATGAAAGCTCAGAAAGAATCTAAAACAACTTTCTTTTTAATAAAATAGGTTAAACTAAACTAACGATACTGTGTAAAAAACGTATACTGTGGTTGTGACCGAACGGTAATTTCACAATCAAATAGAAATATTATTACTGTTACATCGCTAATGTTCCGCTAGAAGGAAAGAGAAAGAAAGAGTCAAAGAAAACAAATTTGATTTCGTTCATGATTAGGTACGTTATTTTAAAACGAAGAAAAAGTATATTTTTTGATTAAACACTTGTAGATTATTTGTATTCATTCAGGATTCTTATTCATGAATGGTTTTCTTGAACCATTGTCTGATATTTTCAGTCTTTCTTACGGGTATCAGGAAGCGTCCAGCCGTTCGTCGGCGCACACACATTTTCATAAATATTATTGGTAATGCAATACCGCGTTGGCTCTGTATGTATAAAACACTGATAATTTCCATCATTTATACCAATATAGTCTTTTCTAAGTGTTGCTCTCAAAATATGAATGTATTACCACTTATATCCATTTGTTACGTAAAGAGAGTGAGTTTAACAATTGTTGTATTCTGAAATGTTAGAGCCCTTTAGGGATTTAGTATTCAAGCTCGATAACGCCATCGATACATGCTTTGGCGATATTTCATTTAAGAGAGTATCTTACGTTAACACAGACAGATAAACAGAATGAGAAAAAAGTCTGCTATACTCAACATTCTTCTTTCAAAGTTCATAAGCGGAAATGTTTGTTTACTCTAGGAATGAATTATTTCAAAACGCCAACATTGCAATTATTAAATATAATGTTTGAGAAACAAGATGTTTTTTGGACTGCTTATTTTTTGAATTCAAAAATACGATATTTGGCTTCAGCTACGGCATAAGAAGTTGAACATTGACATGACTTGATATGTGATTTAGTTATTGATGGAATAGACAGTGAAGACGAAGACAAAGACGATGATTTGTAGACTAATGATTATGTTGAGTATAATCCATTTTATTTTTGGCAAAAATAACAGATGCAGTTGGAATTACCACTACTTAGAAGAGTTGCACGTTGTGTGTTTTCTATTCCAGCAATAAGTGCAGCTGTTGAACGTTTATTTAGCGCATCTGGAAGTTTAACTACATAAATTCGAGTATATTTAGCTCCTGACAACAGTAAACAGCTTAATGCCAGATCGATCGATGATGAAACAAAAAGACATCATTCCACAACAACAAGAAGAATATAACAAATATAAACACAAAGGACGACCTAAACCTGAACGTAGATTAACAGCGGGATCGGCTCATTCTACATCAGTCTCGGTCGTTTCTGGAGTGCCTCAAGGACGCATTCTTGGCCCCATCTTATTTTTAATCTTTATCAATGACTTACCTCAAAGTCTAGTTTCCTGTTCCCTATCCTCGCTCTTTGCAGATGATCTTCTTTGTCTAGCCGATCCAGACAAGGCACAAGCGTGCATAGACGAAGTTCTGGCTTGGTGTGAAACGAATTTTGTCGCTTTAAACG